TTCCTTCACCTTTTTTCACCCTGCCCCCCAATCCACTCCCATCTATCACCCCAACAAATCTAGTACCCATCTGACACCATCCATAGTTATTACAATATTATTGACTATATTCCTTATGCCATACCCCACATCCCCTTAACTTCCTTATAACAACCAATTTGTACTTCTTAACCCCTTCCCTTTCTTTCACCCACACCCCTAACCCCCATCCCATATGGCAGTTATAAAAATGTTCTTTGTATCTATAAGTGTGTTTTTGTTTTATTTGTTTATTTTGTTCTTTAGATTCCACATATAAGTGAAATCACATTGCAACTGTCTTTCTCTGTCTGACATAATCCACTCAGCACAATACCCTCCAGGTCCATCCATGCCACAGGTGGCAAGAACCCATTCCCTTCCAAGGCCTAGCAATATTCCATTGTGTACATGTACCACCTCCTTTTTATCCATTCATCCGTTGATGGACACCCAGGCTGCCTCCACATCTTGGCCATTGTAAACAATGCTGCAGTGAACATGTGGATGCACACGTCCCGTCGAAGTAGTTTTCGGTTTCTTCGGATAAATACCCTGAAGTGGGATTACTGGGTCCTTCATTGTCTCTTCTTACAGACTTTGTTTTAAAGTCTATTTTGTCTGTGATAAGTATTGCTACCCCAGCTTTTTGTTGTTGTTTTCATTTCCATTTTCATTAAATATCTTTTTCCATCCATTTACTTTCTGTATGTTGTGTGTCTTTTAATCTGAAGTGACTCACTTGTAGGCAGCCTATGTAACAGTTTGTTTTCTTATCCATTCATCCCTCGTATGTCTTTTGATTGGAGCATTTAATCCGTTTACATTGAAAGTAGTTGTTGATATATAGTTATTGCCATTTCTTAATTTTGACATTTTTTTCCTATATTAAATCCCTCTAACATTCTTTGTAATACTGGTTTGATGGTGATGAACGCTAACTTTTTCTTCTCTGGGAAGATCTTTATCTGTCCTTCGACTTTAAATGATAGCCTTGCTGGGTAGAGTACCCTTGTTTGTAGGTCCTTGCTTTTCATCACGTTGAATATTTCCTGCCAATCCCTTCTGGCCTGCAAAGTTTCTATTGAGGGATTAGCTGACAGTCTTATGGGAGCTCCCTTATAAGTTACTAGTTACCTTTCTCTTGCTGATTTTAGGATTCTCTGTCTTTAAATTTTGCCATTTTAATTACTATGTGTCTAGGTGTGGGCCTGTTTGGGTTCATCCTGTTTGGGACTCTCTGTGCTACCTGGACTTGTATGTCTATTTCCTTCATCAGGTTAGGAAAGTTTTCAGTCTAAATTATTTCTTCAAATAGGTTCTCAATCCCTTGCTTTCTCTCTTCTCTTTCTGATACCCCTATGATGCGAATGTTATGCTTGATGTTGTCCAAGAGGTCTCTTAAACTATCCTCATTTTTTAAAATTCTTTTTTTCTTTTTGCTGTTCCAATTGGTGTTTGTGCTACCTTGTCTTCCAAATTGCTTATTTGATTCTCTGTTTCATCTAGTTTGCTAATGATTCCTTCTGGTGCATTCTTCATTTCAGTTGTTGTATTCTTCACTATTGACTGGTTCTTTTTTTTAATGATTTTTATGTCCTTTTTGTGCATGCAATCTCTTTGTTGAAGTTCTCACTAAGTTCCTTAAGCATACTTATAACCATTGTATTGAACTCTGTATCTGAACTCTGCCTCCATTTTGTTTCTTTTTCTGGATTTTCCTTTTATTCTTTCACTTAGGATGCATTTCTTTGTTTCCTCATTTTGGTTGCCTCTCTGTGTTTGTTTCTATGTATTAGATCGATCTGCTGTGTCTTCCAATTTTGGTTGGGTGGCCTTATATAGTAGGTGTCCTGAGGAGCCCAGTGGCACACTCTCTCTGTTCACCTGAGCTGTGTGCTCCAGGAGTGTCCCTTTTGTGGGTTCTGTGTGTCCACCTATTATAGTTGAGCCTTGATTGCTATTGGCATGTCAGTAGGTGGGATTGACCCTTAGGCTGACTGGCTGTGGGGTTTGGCCCCACAGCTTATGGGTTGCTGTGCTGGAGGCTTACCTCACTGAGTGGGATTTGCCCCAGTGGGTTCTGGTGCCTGTTGAGACCACCTTTTGTGTGTGCCACTTATGGGAAATTGGGCAGTGCTCTGCTGTGGTTTGAAACCAATCTCCAAGTATGTTGGTTGTGGGGCCTCTTGCAAGGGGCTCCAGTGCAGGCCCAGGTAAGCCACTGCCTGTGACTGGCTGGGAGCTACCTGGTAGGAGCTACAGAGACCCGTGGTTGTTTGCTGCCTGTGCTAAACCTTGAGGTGCATGGGGAGAGACCACGCTGCAAACTGAGAATGGCTGCCGCCAGTACCAAGCCTGGGGTAACTCCACAAAAAGCCAGGATACCTGGAGGCCTGCTGCCACCTGCCAGCTCCCTTAAGATTCAGCCGCTGATAAAGCTTTGTGCGGTATGTGAGTTGGGTGAGGCAGGGTCTCAGGGAGTCACTAGAGTGGGAAGAATTGTGGTCACCAGGATAATGTAGACTCTGGTTTGGTGCCAGTGGTGAACCTGGAGCAACTCAGCAAAAGTCTCAGCATACACTGAGCCAGTTGCTGCCCACCTGGGGCCTGTGAACTCTGATAGTTTTCCACTAAAAAGTGCAATGCAGGAGGGGGCTGGCTATTTGCGGTGAAAGTACCTCCAGCAGTGTGCAAATTGGGTGAGGTGGGTTCCTAGCTGAGTCAGCAGGGAAGAGCATCAGAGCTCATCAGGCCAATTAGATTCAGATTTGGCCTGTGGGGCTGGGCTTGATATAGGCAAGATGGCGCCCTCCCTCCTGCCAGCTGCATGGGAGGGGGACCTCTCACTGAGAAAATGCCTACTGTCCTCCAGTCCTCCCCTTGCAGTCACACACCTCTGTCTGCCCCCCGTATGTCTCCGAGGCCTCCCAAGTCACTGTCCCTCCACTGGAGCCTAAGGTGAGTGCCTGTAAGCGAGCGAGTCTGTGTGTGGGCCATTTAAGAGGACACCTGGGTTTCCCCGCAGCCTTCTGTCCCACCCGGATGGGTGGAAGCCCCATTGGTTCTCACAGCCAGATGTGGGGGCTCCTATTCCCAGCACCAGTACTCTGAGCTGGAGAGCCTGGTGTGGGGGTTGGGGTTCCTTATTCCTCTCTAGGGAACGTGCGTGGCTGAGATATCCTCCTGATTCTCAACCACCACAGGGAGGTTTGGGGCCGTTCCATGTCTCCGCCTCTCCTGCCACTCTTGACGTGGCTTCTTTATTTTTAATTATAGGACTTCTGTTTGGTTAGACTTCAGATGGCTCTCCAGGTTGATTGTTCTACAATTTAGTTGTAATTTTAATGTGTTCATAGATGGACACAGGCAGGGTGTATCTACTCCGCCATCTTGGATCTCTCCCTGGAGTACATATTCTTTATAATCAGTGCCTGGAGTTTTTTATTATATCTTGTATTAAAATTTTTGGATGTAAACGTCTATTCAGTTTTTTCATTCACACCACAGACAGTAAGCACCCATTATATACCAGATAGTGGGATAAAAAAATGAATAGGACTAGGTCTCTATTATTAAGGAGCCCACAGTTTAGAAATTAAGAAAACTATTTTGACCTAGCAGTTTTGCAACAAAAACACTTAATAGCACAAATTGTTCAGGTACTACAATTAGTGATACTTATGAAGAAAGTAAAAAACATAAGACTTTGAAGTACCCTTTGAATGTTAGACGTAGTTTTTGCATTATATATAATTTATTAAACTCTTAAAAACAGGTAATATATATTACTTAAAATTTGGTTAAAAAATATTGTAATGTTTGATTATGTCAGAAAAGAGGCTTTGGCAAGTTAAAGAGAAAAGCTATTTATTGAATTAATGAACTGTTTGGTGTCAAGATCACAACACGTATTATCTTATGCATTATATTATTCCACAAACGAGTCTAAATTTAGAGTTCTGGCTTGTGGAAAGATTCATCTTATTTGTAATGCAAGAACTTTTTTTTTTAAGTAGTAACATTTGTCTAAAGTTATGTGGAAAAATAAGGGTTTTGTGTCTTAACAAAGGATCAAAATATCACAAATTAGAAAAGTTATATAAAAAAAAGAATATGGAATGTACCACTGTTCAAATGCAGTTAGTTAACTTCTTTAGAGACCAATACATGCTGCAATTAGTTATTTACTTTGAATAGCTAATGCCTTTTTAAGGAAGTCTAGTTCCAGCATCCTATGTAAGATGTAGCTAAAATTCTCAATATTGAAGTTACAAGTTTTTTAAGTTGTATTTGTTGCACATATAAAAGGTAGTTCACTTTTGCTTCAGAAGTTTGGCACTATTGAAATTACATATGTGTTCTGTAGTGTTTTTTATTTCAGATGTATAGAGCAGTTCTGATTTCTTGGTGGCTATCATTCCTGCCCTCTAAAGAATGTTTTTTACAGGAGACCTCCGCTCTTCCTTCTCCCTTTTGAAAATGTTTTCTCAAAATTAGTTTCAGTTTTGGATAATTATCTCCCTACCCTACTCAGGATATGGTACAGAATTTCAGGGGATGTGGTACTCAATAGTGTCTGTGCCTCTTTTCAGTATAAGCACAGTTATTGTGATAATGCATGTCAAAGACACTTCTGCCCCTCCCCTAACAACTGAGCTGATTTCGTCACTCACTTTGGCAGGAGTGGAATTACCTGGAATGATTTCAGGTGGATATGACCTACTCAGCTCAGCAGCTGGCAGGAAACTGGAAGTATCTGCCCTTGACATTTAGTACAGGGCAAAGGATATCTCTAGGCAGGTACCTGCCAAACGGAGAGTTGTACAGCTTTATGTCAGTTAATCACTGTCTTCAAATTGGTTACTTTGTCCAGGTGGGATGACATAAGCTGTGACAGATAGTCCCCGAATCTTTATTCCTGATTCTAAAATATGATTTGAAGCTGTTATGCATTATAAAGAGTGACGAGCAGCACTTAATATATTTAGTAAACTCAGTTTATTTACATAATACATATTTCGCCATGCAGCTTGCAAATTGCTCTCAGAGTAATAAAGACAAGCACTATCTTGCTATTTAAAAATGCCTTTTTATAGAAAGATAATTGTCTCTCTAATGAGTTAACTACAACCTTATAAATCACTACAGACACTTTAAAACAGCCATGGATAATTAAAAAATGTTAAGTCCGTTGGTAAAGAGCTTGTACAGTTTACATGTCGGGAAAATTAAAACCAGTCTTTTTTAGCACTGTAGCCGAATAGTGTACTTTTAATATTATTTTAATAAACGTATAAAAACAAAAATAAATATACATTATTACAAGGCTCAGATTTGTAGGCAATTTTTAAATAGTTATTCTTTAATGTTAACAATGTCTTAAAAATTTTGCCAGTAGTGATGTGCACACAGTAGGTGGTCAATAAATGCTGATACACAGAACTGTTTATAGTTGACAGCAATCCACGTTCATTCATTCCCTACATTATAATAAATACATCATAGTAAAGGTTAAGAATGAGAAAGGATAGCTTTCTTACAATATTTAACACTTTCATAAAAAGATGAAATGTTTACATAGTATAATTCTCCTTACAATTAAGACCTTTTAAATTCAAAAAACAGTCTTAAACACATTATGTTCTTTTTATCTATTCAGATGCCAAGTATTAAATAATTCATATACTATAACAAAAATCCAGGACTATTTTTAAAAATTAAATGAAAATAAAACTTTAAGCTCTATATGTTTTTTGAGAAGATTTTATAACAAAAATGGTACCAGACCTAAAATAACTAGACTTCTTCATTTTTAAATTAATTATAAATACTCAATGTGTTTTGTTTGGCCACAATGACAAAATATCTATTTAAAACAATATTATATACGCCAATAAGGGATATTTTAGGGAAAATACATCCTATTATCATTACACCAAAATATGAGATAAAACGGCCATTTTCAAGGTAGTGTTCCATCATAATAATGGGTACAAAACAGTGTGCCTTTAGCCCACTGGGGGGAAGCTCTCCTTGCTGAAGTACAGCATGGGGAATTTATATTCCGAAAACACTACACTGAAAAAAATACAAACGGAGGCATATTAGAGTAATATTCCTAATGTCAGACGTACACGTGGCATTTGGGAAACAAGCTTCGCCATCGGTCAACACTTCTGATATGTGGTAATGCCAAGGTTCTGAAGACAGACCGGTATTTGAAGCAGCTCGTGTCAACCCATTAAGAATCCTGGGTAATACTTTATATTCCAATCAACGATATGTTTTTATGAATGACTGCTTTAAGGGACATTAATTTATACATGTGAAAAAGACCAAAGAACAAGTGTTAACTGTTGTATGATAGGGCACTGAGATTTATTTGTTAACTATATACAAGGAAAAGCCAATTTAATGTTTCAGGCCCAAATATTAGATAGTATATATCAGTACTTTGACTCATCAACACATGCACACACAGAGAAAGACTAGAGCACAAGTGAATAATCCGTCATCAAATGGGTCATCTGCATGACTTTGTTCTAAGGCTTAAGGTACATTTCAGGGTCAAGACTGGGCCTTCTGGATTCTATGGCCTTGAAAGTAGCACCCATATGTCTGGGAACACCCATCATCAGGAAATTTAGGACTGCGAATTCAGAGGTGAAAGCTCTTGTGACATAGGAATTTTGGAACCAAAAATTTGCAATACACTGGCAAGAGTTAATTATATGGACTTAAATAATATTATCTGAAATTAAAAAGCTTAACTGGTTAATTGCTTGGTTATTAGACCACAGAATTTGTCACCTGGTCATGCAATCCGTTTTTCATATGATTCTTATCTGTTGGGAAATGACAGTGCAAGTTCTTTTCCTCTTCTCAACACCTCTCTCAACTTAAAGGAGAAGAGGTTTCAAGTTTTTGTTCCAGTGAACTAAAAAATCCAATGTTCCTAGGGAGAAGAAAACCTACAGCTAAAGGAAATAGTATCTTATGTGCCAGTTTCTCACAGACTGTATTTAAAGGCTAGTGATGATTCAAAATCACTCTCCAAGCTTGTGTTAAGCATAGGCTATTGCAACCCTCGCCTTCATTAGGCACTTGATCATCTACCGTAAATATTTTCTATCAAAGTAATCACACAGGATGGCTCCATTTTATAATGGAGGTGAGCCCTTCCTAAGAAAATGAAGCTGGTGTTAAATTAAATGAATACGATTTCTACACCAGTTTTACATTCATTGTTATTCAGATGTTTCTTCTGAATGCCAACTAATTTTCACTTTCTGTACAAGCAGCAAATTAGTAGTTTTAAGGGCCTGTAAAGCAGTTATTATTACAGATCCCCAAGTATATTTTTCAATTTTTATAAAGTATTACTCATGATATATTAAACAAGAGGGAAAAGGAAAAAACTAATGGAAATCTTAGAAATATTGGGGTATACAACTCCCCGTTATATATTGCTTAACAACTGAATACACCAGACGGCCATACCTGAATTCACAAATGTGAAACATAGTCAGGACAAGGCTTGCTATGTCTGTACTGCATAACATACACTGTTGACTGATGCCACCAATATAACATCACTACTGCAAGGATATGCCATATTTGGTGGCTTGATCCGAGGTAGTTTAGTTGTCCTGGAAAGAAAGGTAGAAAGAAATACTGATTGTCAATATTTTGATTTTAAAATAAAAGTACATTTCTGTCTCTGGCCTTGGAAACATGGCTTAGCAGCAAAAAGATCTTGGCAGTCTCAAAGCACCTGGAGACTGACTCAAGATTAATTCAGACTCAATTGTTTCTTTTAAAAAGGATTAATTCATATTTGAGTCTAGTTTTAAGGTTTTATTCATAAAGTACACTGGTGAATTTTAGAAATACTATCCCAAATGTGTCTTCAAAATGTAGCTTGGTTAATTTCAGGAATTTGGCCGTTAGTCATCCATTTCTCAATTTATACATTTGGTGAAGGAAAGACAAGCCATGAGAGAAGCAAAGGAAATTAGTGCTACAAATCCTGGAGTTGATAAGAAGCAGAAACACTGTTGTGTTTGGATGTAAGTCGGCTTGAAGCACTTTTTATTTCAAGCAGGTATGTAAGGAGAAAGTTCAGATGTGAATCTTGTGCTATCAGACTAAGGAATAACCTGCAATTAGTAATGGGTTAATTAAGGTTGATGAGTTTATATGCAATTTAGGAGAACTATTTAATTTCTCTGTGGTTAAAGGTTAAATTCTAAGGAGATTAAGTAATTAACATGTGGAAAGCCTTTTGAAAAATAAAATAAATGACAAGATACAGAGCTATAGAAATTTAAATGTAAATAATTTACTCACCGTGCTTCTAAAGTAAATTCTTAGGTTTAAGGTTTTTGGTTTTACAGTGTTCATCACTATTTCACCATGACTGTAATGTCTTTTTATATGGATCTCTAAGAACCTTAAGTCATATTTATAATCCTCTTCTCAAAAATACTAAGGAGTTCTCACTGAGGGTCTTCCTGATGGACTCCAACTGTTCCCCTGTGACACCTACCTCTAATAGCTCTTATTTCTCAATATATTTTCCTCTGTGGGTGAAATATGCCTCCGTGGCTCTAGCTACCAATCACTAGTCTCTTATTTTCTTACCAAGAATAATAACCAGTATAATATAGTATGCAGATTTTAAAGTGTAAGTCAACAGAATTCTTCCTGTATGGGTTCTTAGCCCTTTTTGTGTGTGTATCACGGGCCCCTTTGGCAATCTAGTGAAGCCCACAGACTCCATGGCTACACTGCTCAGAGGTGTCTGTACTCCACCACACATTCAGCTACATGGGGCACATTTTAGGTCAAGTTCATTGCAGAAGTTATGTAACACTTGACCTTTCATAGGTGTCCTATATTAGACAACTAGGAACTCTGCATTTGAATATTTTAAGGCCTAAAAACATCCCAGGTGACCCCACCTACTGGACTCAATTCATATTGTGAGGATAAAAGAAAAGTCTGTGAAACCTCTTGAAAGTTAAAGTTTTAGATAACATTTGAGAATATGAGAATAGAGCCATTCTCTAATCAATAACATTGAAAAAAATCAATCTAAGTTTCGATGCTCTGAAGCATATACGTCGACGCCATATTTAGAGTAAAGTTACAGAATCGCTCTACAAGCAGCACCTACCTGGAAAGTACCGTTCTGGAACTTTGGAAATGTAGAACAGGAAAGCAAGAAGAGCAATCACATACATCACGACTACACGGGGTGCAAAGTCCTGTAAAGCAAAACGTAGCTTTTTTGTTTTTTATAGATCTTCCTACTGTGATTGAATTCCCAATTTGTTATGAATCTAATTCATAGGTGAGGTGGAATTCATAGGTGGAATTTAAGTCTGTTAAATCTGAATTGCTTCTGCAGACAGTCTCCTAGAATAGAAACCTCGTTCTCCATTTTGCAGGAAGCAGTCCACAAGAGTGGAGCATGGAGTGCCCTCAAGGTTAGGGTACTAAAGCTTTCATGAGGCTGAAGGTCCTACAATCTACAACCCCATCTACAATACAGGTATATGGTTGGTGGGCATATGGGAATGGAGTTACCAGGTGAATAGGCAGAGACTAAAGACCAGGGGTTTGTGGCTGGAAAGACCCAAGAGGTTCGGCCCAATAATGAAATCTGTTCCACCATCTCAGAAAAATGGTCCTCTTGAATACTACTATATGAAGTAGTCCTCTCACAGCTTTATTGAAAAGCTTTCCTTTGCCCTAAGAAAATCAACAAGCTATAATTTATACATACTGTTCCTCATTCTGGTTATAAACCCAATTTACCAAGAAGCCATTTAAGAAATAGACAAATTACTTTTCTTCCAACTCTTCAAGTATTTGCGAATTATCATAGCCCGATCTAAATCCTATATTCTCAGACTAATCAACCTCAGATTTCTCAAACATTCTAGAACATAACGCCACCCTATCATGCAGGTTTAGCTCTTCTGGAACTTTACATCTTTGGTTAAGTGCCGTTCTTTCCATCTTTTAAAAAATAGAGCTTATTGGAGAATTTCTCCAGAAGTCTTCCTTTGCTTCTCCCCTGGAATTATCTGTGAGCCTATCAGAGTTCCATCTTGAGAACCACTGTCTTCCTAAGCCATAGTTCTTTAAGATTTCTGAATATGGGAAAGTTCCCTTTTTTTTTTTTTCTTTCTGAATTTCTCTAAAATCTACTACCTTAATGGGTCTGGTTCCCTTTCTTTGTTATTTTAGGGATTTATCACCTCATCCCAAAATTTCATTTCTGGTTAGAATTAATCTACAGCAGGGGTTGGCAAACTGCAGCTTGCAAGCCACATGGGGCTCTTTGGGAAGTTCCATCTCAAAAGTTTGCCGACCCCTGGAAGAGCCAATCCTGTCCCTCACAACAATTTAAAAATTATTCGAGAGCCATAAATATATTTTTACATAATCACCATTATGTGAATAATATCCTTTAAAAATTTTATAAGTGAAACTGTGATAGTTTTATTTTCATTTTCAATTTTACTTCAGAGCCACATGTACATACCCAAAGAGTCCAATGTGGCTCGCGAGTCGCAGTTTGCTGACCCCTGGCAGCTCTTCCGTCTCAAAAGTTTGCAGACCCCTGATCTAGAGTGACAGTTCCCTATTCTATTTTCTTTACTTATTTTCAGGGAATCACAATTGTCAGAAAATGTTGTTTTCACAGATATCCGGATAATCACTACTGCTCACCTTTCTCCCAATTTCCTAATCTTAGGAAGAAACCATCACCCTTGCCCTCAAGTTGGCAAAGAGGCCAGACAGATCCTATCATTCAATTCACTAGACCACAGAACTTCCTTTGTAGTTTTATACCCAAGTGTTTTCCACCACACTGTTGCCAACCTCATGCAAGCTATATGTAAGCCTATCACTCCCCTTTCTAAAAAAAATCTGATTCTTTTGAGTACAACCTGCATTTAAATCCCCATATTTAGATGAAGTTCCCATTGCAACATGGGAACTTCTGCTAGATGTGATTTCTGCTAGATTTTTGGGCATGTTTACTTATGTTAAAAATTCTCAACTTTACTCTCTAGTGCATATGTAAAGCCTTTTGATTATGGATCTCTAAGAACCTTAAGTCATATTTATAATCCTCTCTCAAAAATACTAAGGAGTTCTCACTGAGGGTCTTCCTGATGCACTGCAACTGTTCCCCTGCGATACCTGACTTTAATAGTTCTGATTTCTCAATATATTTTCCTCCATGGGTGAAACATGCTTCCATGGCTCTAGATACCAATACAATAATGATTTTCAAATCTTTATCAATAGTATCAGGCTCTAAGCTAAATTCCATCTCCGGTTTTACATTCCATAGGTACCTCAAACTCAACAGGGCCAAGGAAAATTCCTTCCTAACCCCTCCTCTACACATACACACATAAAACCCAAGTGTTCCGATTTCTGTACGTGCATTATCCCTGCCTCAGCTGACAAAACTATAATAAAAACATGTGAGTCCTCCTCCACACGTAAAGACTTGGGTACTTACACATCAAAGGTGAAAAGAAAGAGAATTAAGACTGTATTATTTCACAGAAAGCCATCTCAGAAAAAAAACGGTAGTTAGACTTCTATTCTTGCAAAGGATGCTTATTTAAATGCTTATTTAAATTTTTCATTAAATGAAAATTATGGCATCAATATGCAATTATAAATATGCTCCCAAATGAAAAAGACCCACCCACTTAGCCTGATTACACTACTTTACCCAACAGGAATAAAATTGAAAGCACACAGAATAGGCAGAAAATATGGACTACACTCAACCTACCTGTACAATAGGAGCACTGATTCCCCCATTGAGCCAAACCCAGTGAAGAGTAGGAATCACTCCATATCCCGAAACAGAACAAAAGATGATGGAGCGGAGCCTCTGCCACTGCTGTGTGAGGTAACTGGGATGGATTTGCGCAAAGAAAACGGCCAGGATCATAGCCAGCACTGTGACCAGGTACACCTGACGCCAATACTAGGATGAAAGGAAGTCAGATTTTAATTGTTATTAACCATAGGGAAGGGAAATGTAGTTATGGCTTCTGTATTACACATTCCAAACTCTATATACTTGGTATTTTCATTTCTAAACATGATTACCTTCCTTTCTTTAAAAAAAAAAAAAAAAAGCATGTCCCATACAACTTTTAGGTTTCTCAGGATAACAAACCAAATTCCAAAGTGAGTGGGTAAGAAACCACATTTTCTGTGTACAATTTAAGTCCTGTGGAAACAAAGATGACTATGACATGGACTTGCCCAGTGGGTGAGCTCATAGATGGGAGGGGCAGACATGTAAACAAATCATTATAATCTAGTGATAAGTACTGTAACTGCTTATCAACAGAATGTAGCAGAACCACAGAAGAGGGAGTAATTAACGTTACCTGGAGTAGCTAACAAATGTTCCACAGAGGAGATGACATCTAAGCTGGGTCTTCAGGAATATGTAAGATTTTGTGCGAAGAGAGAGCTCTCAAGGAAAAACAGCACATGCACAGGGGAAGTTCTGAGAAGGGAGGCTGACAGACAGGTGTGCTGTCTGGCTAAGTACGTGGGACTTTTTACCATGTTGGCACAAGGGGAACAGCAGAGTTCTTTAAGAATGGGATGACATGGTTGTTTCTCAAATTGATTTTTTAGACAGATAACTCTGGCATCAATGCAAAAAAGGAGCTGACAGGACGATAGCTAGAAAATACTGGGTTGTTGGGAAAGTCATGACATATTTTTTTCTATGTTTTTTGTTGCAAAAATGTGTCATGACTCTTCCGACAACTCAATATTAGAATCACTGATTCAAGAAGAAAATGGGGGATTGGATTCTTGCTGAACTAGGAAGATGTGAACACCAGATTCAGGAGGCATTTTTGAAATAAACTAAAGTCTTAATGGCTGACTGGATGTGTGAGAGGGCAGCAGAGGATGGCTTGACTGTTCCTAGTATGCAACGCCACGACACACATGGTTCTATTAATGAGACAAATGAGCAAAGATGTTCCGTGTGTGTGTGTGTGTGTGTTTTGGGGTGAAGTTGGGGGGCATAAAGAATGTTCTTTTTTTTAAAGATTTTTATTGGGGAATTGGAGGAAGGGGAACAGACAAGTTGCTGTCGTTTTGTTCTTCAGTCTAGTTGTGGAGGACGTTGCTTCACTGGCCCAAGTTGGCACCATCATTGCTCTCTTCCCGGGCGAGGCAGTTCAGTCGCCGGCTTCTGGACGGCCACTCACAGCGGCTGCTGGCCGCTCACGCTGGCTGCTGGCTACACACGGTAGCCTATGGCAACCCACTGCAGCAGGCGCTGCAGCCTACGCCGTCGCCGGCGACTCATGGCAGCCCAGCTCCAGGTTGAGCTGTTGCTCAGCATCTTAGCTGTAGAGGGCAGTGTCACTGGCCCTCATATATGGGATCCAAACCAGGGCTCTCTGGCATCCCAACCCAGCTCTTAACCAACGCGCCACTCTGCCGGCCCAAGAATGTTCATTTTAAAATACATTAGGTTGGAAGGGCTTACAGGATATTTAGGTATCTAAGTGAGCAGGTGAAAAACTGGTCTTAAAGCTCAAAAGTGTGCATCACAGAGGACAGAGTTCTTAGCCTGGACTCCAAGGACTTCTAAGGGGCTATTACAGCTTCCTGAAATCACATGTCAAGTTGTTTGGTTAGTTTGTACATTCTCCCAGATGGAGTGTTCGTAGTTTGCAATTTCATTCTCAAAGCAGCCTGTGTTCCTTAAAAGGTAAAGAGCTACTATAGCAACTGAATATTTGGAAATGATTAGACACCAGAGATATGAAAACAATTTTTCCTTTAAATGATCATGGATTGTATTACCTTTATCAATTCTCTTTTTGTTTAATCTATCCTGGACTTCTAGTTTTTCTGACAAGATTTACAAAAAGTGTTTGACTCATCTCTTTGATAGTTGGATATGTTTAGAAAGACAAACAGAAAACAGGTTTCAGAGAAATATAGACTAAGATAAGCAAAACAATTCAAATATTACATGTACTCACTAAGCTGCTAGTTATCAGCATGCCCCCTAATTTTTTTTAAAGACATAAACAGTTTCATGCAAAATGAGCAAGCTGTGAAAGTTAGGCAGACATGAACAGATTTCACTACTAAAGTCAAATTAATTTATAACTAATTAATTGCATGTATATTTAATTACATATTTATGTTCTAAACCAATTAGGCATAAAAAGCAAATGGTTCACGTGTAAGTGGCTACAAGTAATATATGCTTTCCATTCAAACCAAATTTATGATTTTTCTCTTTGTTAGTTTTACACTGCAGCTCTGTTGACAGTTTTCTGTTATTGTGTGGAGACAAAGGTCTACATAAAACTCTTGTTTCTTCTATAAGTTCATTATGTGCTTATTCAGAAGTTCAAAGGCAAGAAAATGCAAGACCTATATGAAAGGTTGAATGAAAAATGTTTGAAGTTACTTACATTATTACAATAAAATGCATAAAACACTCCAGAGACATAGCAGCCCAGTATTCCAATAGAAATTCCTGCATAATCTAATGCCATCCATCTTCGACAGGTTTTTTCTGATCGGTGGCAGGAAAAAAGATGATAGCCCACAGAGCAGAGCATACAGACCTAGGGAAAATAAAACAAAAGTAAGTGAAAGTGAAACAAAAAAGAAAAGTGAAACAAAAAGAAACTAAAGCAACTCCTGCATGGAGCTGAGGAAGTGGCTGGGTGAAGCCCAGGCTTTCCAGTCAAACAGCCCTGGGCTGGGACTTTAGCTCTGCGCCGTCAGGCAAGCTATGTCATTTCTCTAAGCCTCCTCATGGGTGATTTCCTCAGGAGTAAAATGGGGATAACAATCATATAAAGAAAGACAATTAAAATGACAGCTATTTTATACTATAAAAATTTAAAATGAATAGCACAAGAGTAGGAAAATTACACAGTGCAAATGTTTTAAAAACAGCAACTGAGGCTTATTTTGATCTATGAATAAGTTTCCTTTTTAAAAAGTATTTACTATATAAGTAATACATGTCCCTGAAAGAAATCAAAGAACAAAGAATTGTATGATGTAAAAAAATAAGCCTCTCCCACTCAAATCTATTCCCCAAAGATAGCCACTGATAACATTTATGTCCTTTCAGATATTTCCAATGACTATCAAACACCAATGATATAGAAGCCTACACACACAGAACATACATAGTTTTTTAGATTAGGAATCAAATTATACATTCTGTTCTGCAATTTGTTTTTTTCACTTATTTAAGATTTTTCATGTCTGTATGAGATTTTATTGTACCGAGTTTTCTTTGAAGTTATCAGTTAAACATGGCGTTTTTGTGCCCAAGAAAAAAATAATGATGACTTATGCTGATTTATATGGTTGTCAAATTGAGAGCAAAGCTAGTCTGATTCAATCAGCTGGCCTGAAAATTGGTAAGGTTTCTATGGCTGAACTTCCTCAGCCATTAAATACCTGCTGTGTGTCATGCGCTGGAGATACCAAGATGATGAAACCTCTACTTTCAGAAAACCTTTTCTGAACAAGTGAACAAATGGTGATGTAAGAAGTCCTATAGGAAAAGTCAGTGCAGAGCACAGTGAGAAAATAGAGGAGTGAGGGTACTGGCTTGGTGGGTGGGAGTATGTGTGCATTTATGGGATGAAAAGAGCTTCCTAGAGGGGCTGTCACCTACGCTGGATCTTAAAAGGTAGATCTGTCCTTCATCAGGGACATAAATAAAGATGCACATTTTACTGGAGGCCACAGGAAAAGCAGCATATTGAGAAACAGAACCGTTAAGGAGTGCCATGTGGCCCTCTTCATGACCCAGTTATAGGTCCTATACATCAGGGAATTTTCACTTCAATATCATGGGCCAGGTGTTACACTACTGAAGATCTGAAGTGTGCCCTTCCAGAAGGTCTGAGAAAGGAGGTTACAGGTGTAGCCCTGGGGAGCAATGACAAGAGCCTGCAGTAGGCCAGTGACAGTGGGGGTGGACAAAACAGGACAAACAACATAAAGTAGGTCAAATTGATAAACATTTTGTAAGCAACTGCTAAGGCAGTTAAATGGTTATCGAACTGTTCTGTAATCTGGTCATTAAACAAACCTAATCAGTCCCTGTAGCCTCAATATCAATACTCAAAACAATGTACCTAGCCACAATCTCATTTCTTCACCCACTGTCTAAAATCCTTATTGGTCTATGGCTTTGGCTCCTAAGCTACAAGTCAGGTTATTGACCCAATTACACATAATTTAAAAAAGCTTGGTTATTTGTTTTCTCAGATTATCATTGAGATTAAACACAGTTAATCCAGAAAACATGAAGGTGTATATTCTCAATGACAGGAAAAGGTCTCACTGTCACAATGCTGTGACACAAAACAGCAAGCAGAGATGAGCCTAGCTTGGAAGCAGGTGGACAGGTAGGCAGGCAGGTGTTGAGGCAGCTGTGCATACACAAGCGTCAGGAGGAATTTTAACTCAATGCAAATGTGGTTACCTCTGGGAAGTTGACTTTTACTTTCCTCTATACTTTTGTGTTTGTTTGAATTTGTCCGTGAGCATATCTTATAGTTATAATATGCAACAATAATGCTAATTTCTTTGTGAAAAGGAAAATAAAAGCGGAAAGAGAAAAACTACAGTAATAAAAAAAAAGTACAATATGTAGTGTTAATAGAGAGCCCTGAGTTTAAAAAAAATTAACCTATACTTAGTATGTCCTGTTTTAAAAGGGATGTGTTATTGTTAAGCTCCTTAAAAAACTGACTGAAAATTATCTGGAAAATTGAGTATGTTTCAGTTTTCTGGAGTTTCCTTTTGTGGAACATGTCACTCCAACAAGGTAGACAGATAATTGGAGTGTGCTATCCTACATCTAAGCTACTTGGCTTGATAACCAAATGCCTCAGGATCTGGCCCCTGCCTGTCTCTCCAGCCTGATCTTTCTCCATTCTCCTAGGATCCGACCACAAGACCAACACCAGCAAGCCCAGGCAGTGCTATGCTAAGCTGGCTCTTGCTTCTGGGCCTCTATAAAAACGATCATTTTTTTTGCTTAAATGCCCTGCTGCACTGTCCCTTCTGCCTTCCTGTCTGAGTGACCTGATCTTTGTTTGTCACAGGTTGGTTTTGTTCAGCACTGTATTCCTGATGCCTAGCCTGGATGTGGACAGGAAGCATTTAAAAAATATTTGTTGAACTGAATGTAAATAAACTGAATACAAGGAAAGGCATGCTTAGATTCTACTCTTCTTTAAGACAGAAAGACCGCAGGGCAAGTTCTAAGCCTCTGAAATCACATTCTGTTATTCAAAATGTGCTCTATTAATCTGGCTGGGAGGAAAGCACTGAGCATAGAAAATGGGTAGAAGTGAAAAGAGAAAAAAATGTTGTGTGCTTTAAAAATTAAATATAAATCAGCTTTAAAAATTAAATGTAAATTAATATTAATACATGTATTTATTGTTTACCATGCTGCCTGCTGGTTCTAAGAATTTGGGAAAATTGGGTGAACAAGTTATAAATATAATTTCATAAAAATAAGAGAAATGATATTTTTAAGTAGGGAAGATGTGCCCATTTATCTTTGGAAGTTGTACAGTGTGTAACAGAAATATCATTGTACTACCAGTTAGGAGAGCAGGATTTTACTGTCCTGCTGAAAAACCCCAGGCAGGTCACTGTAACGCATTGAGTGTTTCTTCATTGGCAGTTGCTGTAATTATTTTGTCTTTATAGTTTTGCAATGCATTGTTTTTAGGCCCATATGAAATTAATGTATATACTCTGAACTAACATCAGCTGTGGCTGGGTGATGAAGGGATAAAGGGCTGGCCTAGGGGTAGAGGAAAACATGCTGGGATCCTGAAAGTAGATATTATCCATATAACTAACAGGAGAGTAGAAACCAGTTTTGCTTATTAATGATTATTAAGAGCATCTTAGTCTGATAAGATGCAACTGACATTTAACTATAAAAACATTGATTCATTTTCATCTGAAAACTAGAGATGGATTCTATGGTATGTTTAGGTTCCAGTCAAGACAAAACTTATACCTGAGAAAAAGTATACTTTAAAAAATACTTAGAGAAAAAGTAATTTTCTAATAATAACAACACAAAAATAACAGGTTAATCTTTCCCTCAAAGAAAATTTAAAATATTCCAGAAACTAAAATTAAAAAAAAAAAAAATGGCGAAGGGAAATGTTCCTGGTATATTTCTCGATCATTTAAGTCCAAAGTTTTAACTTGAGTCAAATGATGAAAATCATAATGAAAGCACCATCTGTGTGTGCAGCTGGCTTACAGATTCACCTTTCAGACGGAATAGCAACAGGTTAACTGCACGGAGTACTGGACTGTGTTTGGAGGAGGTGAGATAACAGCTTTTGCTTTTCATTTTCATGTTTTCCTGTATTTTCTGCATTTTTTTTTAATTTAAAAAATGTCAACAGGATTTTGGTCATTTGTTTTCTTCTTTAGAATTATCTGTTTACAAAAGTATCAAATGTTACTTTTAAAGGTACTATTACAAATTCTTGAAGAAAAACTAAAGTACTAAGGAACTAACAAATACAAATGGTAGAGAGGAGGAGCAACTGAAAGTATTTGAAACCAGGCAAGTGTAAAAGGACCACAGAAAATGAACATTAAGGCAATAGACAAGAGCAATACCAGCAAAACAAGACATTAAAATTAAGATGGTATGGAAACAACAAATACAAAAATCACAGACATTTAAATAAGGAAAAAGATAAGAAGTCTTCCCAAAGTTTTAAGCAGACACTAATATTCTACTTCAGCCAGAAAACAGTACAATCAGATTCCTATCCTTGTATTAATCTTAAAGCAGAAATGTCTAAACAGGGAAAGAGGAAAGGAAACAAAGAAATTTTCTCAGTCTTTAAAACTTCTTGGATTTAAAATATAACATTGATTTAAAATGATAACATCCAAATACACTTTCATAAAACATACTTTTGGTACTTATACTATGAAAATGAACAAGCTAACCTTATATGCTATTTTGGGGCTCTTTAAAGCAAGTATTGGATGTGAAGTAAGGTCACCTACCCAAGCTTGTCTATCTAAAGTTCTCTTTATCAATAAGTGTTTGTGAAATGACTTACCTGGAAGCAGAAAAGACAAATAGAACAAATTACAAAATCTTCTCTGGATGCACTTGCTGAAGGTAACACAGATGTCATGTCATATATTCCCAGTGTAAAGAAGAGAAAGAAACCCAGCAAATGACTCCAGATGTTTACTGTCTCATTAGATAAAATAAACAAACTGGAAAACAAAACGGAAAAAAAAAAACACAATGCAGCTCAGATGCAACACTGTCAGCATTTAAAAGGTTAGAGATAATTTTTCTGTTAAAGTGACACTTGCTACTCTTAACCCCTTAACCCATCTTTCTAACCCATGCCTTTCTAAATTTGATATATTGTTTAGTTTCATTAATCTTTCTTTAAGTTTTTCAACAACCAATCCTGGGATCTTAGAGCTTTTTCGGTACCTACCTGTATTATCATATTTACCACTTTCTTCCTTGGATTAGAGTTATTTATGTATAACTTCCATTTCATTCTCCAGCCTATCAACTCCCTGATGGCTGACACCATTCATCTTTATGACACCACTGTTCCAAGCACAGTGTCTTGCGCAAGTTATTGGGTCGTCGGGAAAGTCATGACACATTTTGGCATTGAAAAACATAGAAAAATACATCATGACTTTCCCGAAGACCCAATAAATGCTAAATGTCTACAGACACGAATGTGTGGATTATAACTGGACGTTAGCTACTTTGATATTCAATAATAGGTATCTGAAAATTTAGGATAGGCACAAACTTAAGCTACCTTTTTAGCCTTCATTAAGTGCAAATGCAAAGTTCACAGGACTTGAGAGAGAAGCAGAATGAATACAAATTGATCCACCGGAAATGTCCTTTAAGATAGCATGCTGGAACAACTTTGCTGTGGTTGTTTTGAAACCAAACAAGTCTCCAGGTGGCATGAGTTTATCCTTTTTAGGAATAATAGGTTACTTTGAAGATTAGTACTCTTTGTGCCCTCTTGCAAAGTGCTCACTGGCTGGTCTGAGTTTAAGTAGCTTTGGCAGCACAGGTTGGTGTGGTGTGTACCACCCTGACCACGACTCAAGAGGCTCACTGTCCCTTCAGCCCACCCTCTGCAACTAATTAGCTCTGTGATCATGAGCAAGTCATTAACCTCTATGGCTTCAGTTTATAAAAGAAGGGAGCTGGGTTAGATGCTGCTGCAAGTCCCTTTCAGCTCCTTCCTTAATTTTGTGAAATGTTTCTCCAGCTGTGAATAAGAACTCAGCTGATTACTTACCGAAAGGTGACATCATGACTAAAGATTAAAATATTCTTGCAAAATCTACTCTTTCTAAACTAAGGTCTTTGACCCTCACTGATTCAGAATCCTTATTAGTAAGCATACCATATAATTCTAAGCGACTAAATTTGCACTGTCACCATGGTTTGCTTTTTCCCACGTCATAAACATAGTAGGGTCTTAATCAAACAATCATCAAGAATAAAGTGAATCTTGCATCATAAATTTCAGGCTTTATCCTGTGCAAGCATCAAGTATAAAGACTACTTATATGGGGGATGGGGGTGCGGGGGGCGGGCAATTAGGATGTAGGAAAGTGAGGGAACACATCTGACTATTGGACGGTTTTGACAATAGTACTACGCTCTGCCTACTGTCTCAGAACTTTTCATTTTGTGAATCTCAGTACAATCTGATTAACTGAACTAAGAGGCACAATCTTGGCATGTTCCAACTAACAAAGTATTGACAGAATCTCCTTATCTCCCAAATCTGTGCTGATCACTAGTGAGAGGTAAAAGAATAGAGGGCAAAACCTGAAACTGGAAAAGACCGGGCTGGTGGGAAGAGCACTTGGAAGGATATTCCCAGTAGAGGATCTACTCTTAATTCTATGAGAAGTTAGGCCCATACTCTGTTCATCTTCAAAATCAATAATCATCTCCATCATCCTCATCTGCTTAGCTTTGAAATCAATGATCATGATGACAAGTCACCATTCACTGTATGCTTAGGGCCTGTTGTAGCCTTTTATACACACAATCTCAGTTAAATCTCATTACTTTCCGAAGTGGCTACTGTGATCACCCTGTTTTACAAACTAAGGCTCAGAGAGGTTAACTCTTGTTCAAGGTTGCAGAGCTGTAAAGTGACAGATCTGGATACCCAAGTTTTTTTTGACGCAACAGCCCAAGATCTAAAGCACTAGATTTCACTTCTCAGTCCATAAGATGTGGACTCTAACATCAGAATGCAGAGCACCACTGCTAGGTGGGTATAAAATATTTAAGGCAATTCACTACCTGTTCTATCCTGCAGAACTTCACATCCACAGCAGGGCCCGACTCTGATTTCTTGTGTAATGACTTATGCACAAGAGGCATTGGGGAGGAAAAGAGTACTTAGGATTCAAACTGTGAAGTCCTGTGAGCCATCCATTAAAGCCAAGAAGAGATGGGCAGTAATGTCACCTTGTGACTGTGAGTCACAAAAACACTTTCAAGGCAGGGCAAAGACCACGCTAAAAGATCAAGAATCAGACATGTGGTTGCTGCTTGTGCAATTCAACAGCCCACATTACAGCACTGGGGTTTGTCACCATGGTGACCTGGATGGAGCTAACCAACATCTGTATCTTAATTCTCTTACACTGGGGTCCTGTACATCCAGTGAGTGTTAACAGAAAGCTATTCTAAGAATTAGCACATTAATTTTTCAGTTTTGTTTTTTTAAACCTAGGCTTTCAAGGGACTCTTGGTTAAAGGTTCGGATGATGAAGAAATCGCTTTCATATAACCTCTTATAGTGCTCTAGTGTAGGGTGGTGCCCGTTATTGGCTCTTTGCTATACACCGCATTTTTCACAATGGTTATTATGTAATAGTGCAATTATCTCTTTAATGTGTGTCACCCTGGTTAGACCTTAGTGGCGTCATGAGAACATGGGCCATGTCTGATGATCTCTTCACGACCTGGTCTAGCGCCTGAGGGCAGGGGCTCCATAGCATCGGCTGAATGAATGAACCAGGGGTTTCTAAGTATATTTGGCAACTGAACTTGTCTCCTGTTACACAAACATTTATCTAGCCCCAAACATCTGAATTTCCATAGAGCTGTTCTAAAAATAAACAAAGCTTAGGTATACACAGGAGCAAGTATGGCTCAACCATTGTCAGCGGGATCCATTCCCACATGTATCCCAATAAGCACCAAAGGGAATCAAGGATGTAAAAGCCCTTTGTAAACAGCCAAGCCTCCACAGGAGAGTTGGTAATTACGATCATTGTTACTATCGTTATTATTTCGTGGATCAAGTACCCCCGCGGAAGACGGCAGATAACGAGAGAGGACAGGTGGCAGAAAGGGATGAAAAGAANGCCCTTACAATAAATTTTTAATGAATAAAGGAAAGAACAAATAGTGTTACATCAAAGTCTTTAGAGTGAATATTAGGATCAAACAAATCTATTTTTACTAATTGCCCAGCAAATCCTATTAACCACAGAATGATGTTCTAAATAGACTGCAGCATGCTACAGAGCAGAAATCAATAAGGCTTAAGTGTGATCAGCTTCTTCATCATTCTAGGAGTCAGGGTTTTTTAGCCTAAACTGTATTTATAGCAGTAGTGATGCCTGGTTCCTCACAAATGATGTACAGATGCTGCATTATAATGTCTAATCTCCAAATGGCTGCACTTTGAAAATTACACTTAAAAGCCTCCACAGATGATACACATAGCTTGTTAATCACTAATGTATATTAAATATATAACCACAAGTCCTTTTGAAATGTTTTTCTGTTTTTCTGGTGCTCCATTACAGTGTTCCGTTTTGAGGAGCTCCATCAGAGTGCATGCCTTCTTGGTAGCTTTGTCACATTTCAATACCAAGCCATTCTTTTCATTTGAAATTCACACCAGCACTTAGAATAAGGATCTGCAGCTATCATGGAAGGCGCATGTGCTCTAGACCCAAATGGACATGAGGCTGAATCTCCAGTATCACTTCCTGGCAAGTTACAGAATCTCTCTTGGCTTTGATAGTCTCATCTGTTAGATGAGAATCGTCTTAAACAACCTAAATGACTTGACAGGCTATCAAGAGGATCAAATATACCAAGTGCCTGCTGTAGGAAAGGCATCAATAACGCTCAATTCCTTTCTCCTGTAGCATTTTAAATTTCCTGAGCAATACATTCCCAAGGCTTATCTATATATTTTGGTCATGTTTGTAGGGGATTGTTACAGATCACTTTTTGTCCAGGAGACTTGAAAGAGAAAGTAAAAAAACAATCAGAGCCGAGGAAATAGTCAAGGGAAGTTGGTGCAGACTGCCAATGGGCTTTCTTAAGATTAGAGATAGATATTAATCTACATAAACTTATGCCCCATTGAAAATGTTGACATCTTGAGACACAAACCCTATCTTTTTTTTCTTGACTTCTTATTTCTTAGTAATAATGCAAGTACACCCACTACAGTTCAGTTCAACTAAGTGAAAGGATCGTGTGTCTTAATTTGTATTTCTTGAGAACAGTAACATATTTTTAGTAATTAAATGCTGTCAGGAACAGTATCACCACCACCAAGGCCCAGAATCCTAAACAAACACCAACTTGCAGAATAGCCCAGAGCACAGGTCAGTAATTACCTAGAGACACAGCCTCTTAAAACAAGCAGGAATAGCAGGTTATTAATTGCCTTGTATCTGATCTTAGGAAATTGAAAACGAGAAGTGGTAACTTTATCATCTGGCCTTTTGCTGTGCAAAATTTAAGAAAATATGCAGAATAGATGAAAAGTGCAAATTGACATAATTTTGCATTTTTCAGTGGAAATTTTGGATCACTGTGGGGAGCTCAAGGCAGAGAGAAGAATGAGAAGAGACTTACATTTAACGGGAATTTAATAAAGGAGCTACTTGATAGTAAAAGGTAATTGGGCATATGTTCTTCAACTCTATTGAGGCTAATCAGGAAATAGGTCTAAACAGTGGCATAAAACCAAAAAGTCAAGGTTGGCTGTTTTCTCTGGGAGACCAGGTACCACCCGAGTGAAGCAGGGCTGCACTGCAGGGCCCTGCCTCACTCAGAATATTGTCTCCATCAGTTCCCACAAAGGCCTAAGTGCCATTGTGTCTTCAGGCAGACCCCATTAAAATGTGTTTAAAGTACCGTGGTGGTGGGATCCATTAACAACCG